GATAGGGATGGTAGGAAATCTACTTCATCTTACGTGTTTACCTTATCTAATTCATGTGTAAGTTGGAAATCACAGTTACAACATATTGTTGCACTATCCACTACAGAATCAGAATATATTGCTACCACTGAAACTATTAAAGAAGCTCTATAGCTTAAAGGCCTACTTTATGAACTATGTGTCTTGAATGATTATGTGGTAGTGTACTCTGATAGTCAGTCATCTATACATTTGTGCAAGAATTCCATTTTTCAAGAGCGCACTAAACACATTGATGTTAGACTCCACTTCATTAGAGATACAGTGTCTCAAGAGGTGGTAAGATTTGAAAAGGTCCACACCCAGTACAACCCTTCCGATATGGGGACGAAGGTATTGCCACTGGCAAAGTTTAGAAGTTGCAAGAAACTTTTAAACATTGGTACAGGTATATGATTTCCAATTTTATTGGTTTTCTATTAGATGTGTCACTAATGGGAGACATTTTCTTTTGCAAGTCCTTTAACACCAATGTGGAGGTTCTTATGCAATTTGTTGTCAAACGACCTCCCGGACAATGATGTAACCTTAGTTTTATTTATTATCAATCGGTCTTGGCCATATGATTGAATTATATGTCGACACTATCATCGAGACAACCCAACCCACATCTCTATGAACCGTTAGAAGTAACCTATTTTAATAGCGTTGCTCATGGTTCGTCTCATTTATTTGGAGGGCTATGGTATTCATTTGGAGCCCATTACCTTGTGTTGAGCCTTGTTTGGACCACTTAGTTTACCTAACCTAACTTACCATTTTTGGTCACTCATTTTGGCTTATAACCTACGGCTCCACCTATGCCTCCATTATGAAGAACACTCCATCTCTTTCTGTGAATTTGATTCTCGGCCTCTTTCTTTCATATAACCTGTGTGATTTCTCTTGGGTTATACATTGTTCTTCATTTTGGCCAACTTTTTGTGAGTATATATATAGCAACCGGAGGTGGGAAGGAAGAAGGTGGAAGTTGGGTGTTGTCTCAATCGAGGTTGTGTCGATATATGGTGGAAACTGAGCCTGGTATCACCTTGATTATTGCTGTAATTTCACCTTACAAGTGGCAGACGCTATAGCTGTATGGACTGTATATGTTCCTCTCTTCCTCCTGATATTTTTTAAATCAAATGATACTTGCCATGTGGTTGCTTCAAACCTTGATGTACTATTTGTTCTCCTGCAAAATTAATTGGGATTTAATTTGCAAGATTTTTAATCTAAGAAGAAAAAGGCCATCAAATTGTGTGTAAATACCCGTTGACATGAGCAAAGAACCAATCTTTTCTGTAATCACTGGTGCCAACAGTGCAAACTAAATCTTGATCAGGGTATAAATCTGTATCCCATAATCCATATTGTCTATACCTGAATTTAATAAAATATATTATTAAAAATCATCAAGAACTTGTTGAAATTAAACTCAACAACGGTGTTCATTTTATAGGGAGCTTACTTATCCGTAGGGTTGATAAATAGGTCGTTTTTGAACTCGGGTGCCGGATCAGGGACGTAGAACTCAGCAGGGGTACGATCAGGAATTCCAATTTCCCATAGGGTCAGACCATTTCTTGGAGGACTATATACAAGATTGCCTAGTTGAATTTGACTCCCTGTCCCAAAAATCAGATTTTGAGTTAAATATGTTTGTTCTTTCTATCTATAAATTGAATGCAAGATTTTCTTAGAAAAACATTTTAAATGTAAAATTCTATAGGTACTGAGATTAAAACCTGATTTGATGAAAATATCATTTTCATATTTATAGTCACCCATCCCTCCTGGGACCCAAGCATTCAAACTGTAAGTACCTCCTCGAACGCCTCTTATTGTGAAGTAACCATGCTCATCAGTTTGACTCCAAAATTCATAACCTTGATAATGATATTAATAAATAATAATTTAATATCTATGTGACAATCACATTCTTACGATAGATATTAAATTTTTACCAAATATAACCTTAGTTTCTGTTTGCCAAGATCCGACATCTCCAGGTGGAGCTAACCCAACATATGCTGATTTTGCAGGCATGAAATGTGGATTAAGATACCTGTCACGGACTAATAATCGACCCCTAACGGTACCCCGTTGATTGGCATGAGGGAAATCTTCTGAACTTGGAAAGTCGTAAGGCCATTTTTGGGTTTCTTCTTGCATCTGGTGGAGTACGGATTAACAAAGTTGATTTATGCGTGACTTGGTAGAACTTTATTGTACTTTGTGGCGCGAAAATTACCTGTTTTTTAGCATCTGCCCAACTTCTTGAGTTGAGATATATAAAAATTGGGCCAAAGACCTTTTTCCACGGCTCTCCATTTCGTAATCTAATCCCGAAATTCGAACCAGCATAATGACCACTAAAAAAAGGCTGCATATAGATGAAAGGAATTAGCGAATGAGAAAGTGTGACTTTAATTTTTAGGAATAAATCATTGATGTGAACCTGGATTTTCTAAAGAAGAAGATAAATTTTGTAAACAAAGTGATTTATACAAGATAATAAGATTTACTTACTGCTAAAGAAGTCGGGCCAGCATGAGATGTAAGATCATTTTTCACAGGGCCACCAGCACGAAACTCGTTGCTTGGTGTTATCACCCAAAACCCTATATGTGGATGGGAGCTAATCCACCCGTGCACCAAGCTATCCTTGTTGTCATATGAGAATTGATACTTGTCATCGACCTAATCAATAAAGTGTTGAAAAAAATGTAGGGAAATCTGAATACTTTAATGAACTCCAAGGCACGAAAAAACGTTATCTTTTAAGAGATGTTTCTCCCCTATTCAACAAAGTCACAATTGGGGTATAATAGAAAATCTCTCTCAGGATACAATGGAGACGTTTGATTCAAATTGTGACTATTTGATCAAACCAAGAAGACACTCGAAAATAACTGATTGATGCCAAAAGAAGGAAAGAAGAATAAATTGTTTAATGTGTTTTGCAAACGAGAATTCGTCTAGAATTTGTAGAAATTGAGGTAACCGTTTGAATAGGTGTGTCCCTTGAAATCCTTGCATACATCTACTGGAGGTGACTGTTAAAAAACGAATAGATGCACATATTCTAAGACTTCTGAAATAAAATTCTCTTTCGAGGGTGTTGCCCCCGAGCCCCCTTTACCCCTGAGACTTGACCGGGCAGGTCGATCCCCGTTGCGCAGCGGCAAACACTAGTCGGGGCGGCAAATCATTCGCAAAACAGAAATAAATACATGCAAAATGATGAAAAATATCTAACATAAAGTTCACCATACGTAAATCTTTAAATATAACGAGTGTAGTGCAGTTATAGTTATGCATATTATCTTCTATATTTTCACTGGCTTGATGCATCATTTAAGTTAAAAGAACATATAATGGATACCGAGAATATTAAGTTATGAGATCAATGGTTAGACACCTACCTTGCCTTTGAGGGCTGGATTGCTAGGATTTGTCAACAAAACGGCTTCTTTATAATCAAGAACTAGACCTTCCATACGATCATAGGCTGTTGGCATAGGTGTTTGTATGCTGTCTGATACGGCCATGTAATGGAACCTACATATACAAAATAGTTAAATTATATATGCAAGTTTTCTTCACAAATGACTGAACATTTAACGAATTGTAAAGTTACTAATTCTCGAATCTTACATTTCTTGGTGGAGGTTAAAAGCAATCCTTGCTTCATCAACATTTAAATCAGGCCATCCCTCTAAATGTTCCATTATTGCATATGAATAGAAACCAGAAACACCACGCAACATTATAAACCTGTAAAAAAAATCTTTTTTAGTAGGCAAATTCTAGTGTGATTTACGAGATTATATGCTTTATTTATTATTAAATTAAAGTCTACCTTGTGTCGACATTCAAGGGAAAAGAGTAGCTAAGAGAGGAATTCCAAGTTGTCATGAATGAAACTTCTATCATATCTTCTGTTTCTTCAATAACCCTGAAACTGGTTCCTTGGATCCTGCATAATTTTATTGATAGTAGACATGATGAAACATATAAATATAATTTCATATAGCATTTTCGATTACATAAATAAATTCATTTGAATCACTATCAGTAAAAGGGGATTTTATAAATTGTTCTGCGATTCATGATGAATATATTTCCAATGAATATATGTTTTTGATAGCTTTACTTGAACTGTTTCGTATTAATTTCCAAAGCAACTCACCCT